CTTCACCACTCAGCACATTCTTTTATAGATGACATGTTTTTGCTTCCATATTTGCTTTAATCCACCTGAAATCAAAGTTTGTTTATGGTCCAAAGTAGAATCCTATTTTATTTTTTCCGTCCAAATAAATGATTATTTAGCAGCATTTATTAAAATGTCAGTTCTTTCCCTACCAATTGCAATACCACCTCTCTGTCCTCAGTGGCGCATTGGTGTATCTGGACACCATTCTGCTTACTGTGCTACTTTTTACATTTCTGGGTCCATGTTACACAATCTCAACTTTAATTTTACCCCACATCTTGATACCTGATACCTGGTAGGGCTAGCCCTCCTAGGCTGTACTTTGCCCTTTACATGTCCATATACATTTAGAATCTGCTTATCAAGCTGCACACACACACACACACACACACACACCTATGCACTAACATCTTATTGGGATTTGAATATATAAATCAATTTGGAAGGAATATTTTCTGATCTGTGAGCCTGATAATAGTTCTCCATTTACTTGAGAATTCCTTCATCTTTTTCAAGAAAAACAGAAAAGGTTAAGAATTTTTACAATGTTCATACTATGCTTTTTTAAAAGTTTACATTATTCTTTGTTGTATGGAAATTTTTACATATGAAATAAACTATTTTAAAATTCAGGGAAACAATTACAAAGACACAATTCAAAAATGGGCATCCGAAATGAACAGACATTTCTCAGACAAAGAAGTAAAAGCAGCAAGTAAATACATGAAAAAATGTTCCACATCACTGGTCATTCGAGAGATGCAGATGAAAACAACACTGAGATTCCACCTCACCCCACAAAGAATGACTGCTATCAAGAAATCACACAATAACAAATGTTGGCGGGGTTGTGGGGAGAAAGGAACCCTTCTCCATTGTTGGTGGGAGTGCAGACTGGTGCAACCACTATGGAAATCAGTACGGAGATACCTCAAAGAGTTGGGACTGGAGGTTCCATTGGACCCAGCCATCCCTCTGCTGGGTATCTTTCCAAAAGAATTAAAAGAATCATATCACAGTGATATATGTGCACCTATGTTTATAGTGGCACAGTTTGTAATAGCCAAAACTTGGAAATAGCCCATTTGCCCATCTGTTGGAAACTGGATAAAGATGTGGTTTTTCTACAAAGTGGAATACTACTCAGCCATAAAGAATGAGAAATTAGATTCATTCATAGGAAAATGGATACATTTTGAGGATATACTCCTAAGTGAAAAAATAAGTCACACATGTGTAAATACTGAATAGTTTCTCTGGTGTGAAAAACTATAATAGTGTAAAAGATCCTAATGAGATAACTGACATTGTGAAAAGGGAAGAAAAGGGCTAAAGGTGTAGGGAAGGTGGGATGGGTAGGGGAAGGGCAATAAAGAAAAAGAAAAAAATATGAGAAAATGAAAAATGGAAATAAAGTGTTTGTAAATGGGGAGGGGAAGAGGGGGTGAAGGGAAGGCAGGGACAAGGGAAAAAAATGAGAACCAAGACCTGTCATGTAAAGGTACAAGATCCCAATAATGAATGTAACTGTACTGTATACCTAAAATGTACAATAAACTCAATTTAAAAATAAATAAATAAAATAAAATTCAGGGAAAGACAACAATAAAACTCAGAAATATTAAAGAAATTATGAACTCTACCTCTCTATATGGCAACTTTATGTATTTATTATTGTTACCCCACAATTTTTTAATTTACTTGTGTATATATAATGTTTTGATATACCTATGCATTTTGAAATGAGTACTACAGTGAAACAAATAGCAGTAATCATCTGCAGCTGAACTCTGTGCACGCGTGTGGTAAGAATAACTGGAATCTGTTCTCTTAGCAAGTTTTCAGCATACAGCACAGTACAACTGCGAGCACCCTGCACTCTCCACATTAGACCCCTATACTGGTTCCTCCAGCTGCAAATTTGTGTTCTTTGACACACTTCTCCCCACTGTCTCCTCTTCAGGTCCTCGGAAAATTTCTATTCGGCTCTCCATTTTTTAAACATTTTAAATGCTTTCATAATACTTTCTTATGCTATTTGAAATGATATCTCTTTTAAATTTACAAACTTTATTTTTAGGTTGAAAACAAAAACAGCTTCTCTTTAATTTCATTTCCTGGATACTTGTTGCCAGGATATAAAAAGACAGTAAGTTTTGTATATTGATACTATACACATAATCCTGGTAAACTTTTTATTAAATCTAATAACTTTTCTGAAGATTCTTTTGGATTTTTCATTTGTACAATCATGGCATCTGCAAATAACAGTTGGTTAGTTTCTCATTTTATAATTCCCAACACATAAAGATGATTCATGTCTGGAGAGGTGGAAGTGTTTTTATTACCTTGATTTGATTATCACACATCATTTACATGTATCAAAGTATCATTTATGCCCTATAAATATGTACAAATATTCTATTGTATCAACAAAAATGATTAAGACAATAAAATTATTTTTAAAAATACTTATATTTTTATTGTCTTACAGTACTAAGATCTCTAGTTCAATGATGAATTAAGATTGTGATATTCTTTACATCATTATTTAATGCAAAAGGAATGGTTTCACTTTTTCACTAATTGTTTTATTTTTCTAAAGATATAATTTATCATGGTAAAGAAATTCTTTTAGTTTCAGGAGGATTTTTAAAAATTATAAGTGATGTTTAATTTCATTATTTTTCTATATCTATTGAAATAATTATACAGTTTTTCTACTTAATCTGGTGATTTAGAAAATTACATTAATTAGCGTTCAAAATTAAGGTTAATTAATGCTCAAGCCAGCCTTGCATTCCTGGACTAAATTTGGTTTTGGTGCATTACCCCTTTAACACGATGCTAGATTTGGTTTGCCAATATACTATGTAGAATTTCTGTACCCATGATCATACTCTCCTGGATAGGTTTGGGCATCCGAATGTTGGAAGCCTCATAAGTTGAGTTCATAGATTTTGTCATCTTGGTTTATCATCCTAAGAGGAAGACTTCAGGCTTCACCTACTAACTCAAGTTCCAAATAAATGAGAATTAGCCACCTTTCAAATTTACCTCTGAGTCACCCTGGCTCCTTTGTTCTTTTCTGAATTTATTAGGTTTTAAATAGCCCAAGTAATTTACATCAGTATTTCTCTGCAATACCCACAATTTTCCAATACATCAGGCCAGCTCCAACTCATGGGTACAGAAACTGATTTCCAAAATCAATTATGTGATTGCAGGTAAGGAAGCTGCAGAGAGCCAAGGTCCAAATCTAAGAACTCTGGGATTGAAAGAGGCCTCAGAAACTGCACTGTGGCTCCTGTTCTGCTGAGAAGTTCCAAGAGGTGCAGCTGGTCAGGCAGGAACCCAGCAAAAGCCAACTGCAAGGCCCCAGGCCAGGTCCATCACCCAGCTGGTGCTGCTTTATGGATGCTTTTTGAAGCTTTTCAGCATGGGGCAAATTTGCATTTGCACAGGGTATGTGGAGATAACTTCAAATCTTTCAGTAAGTTATGTGGACATTTGCCCCACAAAGTGGCTCCTGGGTAAAAAGCAGAAGCTTTCTTAGGTGATATGAAAAAGGGCCTAAAACCAACAAGAAAATGCTTCAGAACAAATAAATACTTCATATCCACATCTGTTTAACATTTAAAAATGACTTTTAAAGGCACCTGCTGGCTTGTTTCTCTGATGTTTTATAGGCACGGCTCAGCTCTCCTGCGCTGTTTCACTGGCCACCATCCCGCCGGCTTTTATTTAGTTCAGACTGCTGTGGACCTTCACAAGACCCTCCCTGTGTGTGGAGGGAAGCAAGCATGCGTGTAACCGCTACCATGCAGGACAGGGCAGGCACACCCGAGCGCACCTTCCAGGCTTAGGAGGGCAGGGGAGTTGTGTGCAGTGCAGGACAGGGCATTCGAGCTGGGTCCCAGCAGCTGGTGAGATTTCATCACGAGGCCGGGAGAACCAGCCGGACACACGTGTGGAGATGTCTGTCGGTGGAGCAGCGGCAGGAGCAACAGCAGTGTGGGCTGGTGGGTGAGGACGGGATCCCGCAGCCAGCTGGGCCGGGCTACTGTTTACCAGCTACGCCCACCTGCGAGGGTAGGGTGTTCCGTTACTTCTCCCTGCCTCAGTTTCCCTATAGTAACACAGCTCGTAAGGTGGGTGTGGAGATTACCAGAGGAAGCACTTGGCATACCTGGCACCTGGAAAGGGGCAGCTGCAAATAAGCCAGAGGCTGTGAGCGGATTGGTGGAGAGGCCAGTTTGTGTGGGACGGGAGTTCCTATGGTAGACGAATTGGATTTATGATAGTTGACGGGGAGGTTTCTGAGCAAGGTGGCCACACATTCAGATCTGTGTTTCAGGAACGAACTGCCAAATAATGAAGGAAGCGAGATACAGAATGGAGGAAGTGAGTGTGTGCACGAGTGTGTGTGTGACCTGCTTCCTCTAGAGGGCCAGCTCCCTCACGGCAGGCACTCTGACTGCCTCGCTCCCTGGGGCTCAGAGCCCAGGACCGGACTGCCAGATGGGTGCGCGGATGACCCCGCCGACAGAAGGATGGTAAAAGTATTCTGCAGATTTTTGCTGTGGGGACCAAACACTTGAAACTCACAATGTCAGGGAGAAAAGCTCACGGTTTCGGAGGTTCACCTCCTCCACCTGGGTCCCTCTCCTAACAGCACAGCCACCTCGAGCTCATCGGTGGGCGAGTCCCCTGAGAGCCAGCGCTCACGACCCAGTCGCCTTCGGAGCACCCTGAACACAGGAGCCTCCACACCGCAGCGGCAGCCCATTTTACAGACGAGGAAAGCTGGGCCTCAGGAAGCTCCGCGATCCACCCAGACCCTCACTGGACAAGAACAGAGGACTTTTACTTGTGGAGGAAACTATCATTTCAAACGGACAGGTTTAAACCTAACATTTACTACTCCTGACCCATACTAGTCCAGTCAGAGAGACCAAAAACACAAGACTGCGACCATGGGGCGGATAGAACCTCAGAGAGCAAATGTCGCAGTCCTGGAAGTTCCCTGCGCGCCCACCAGATGGCGGCAACCGCCACCGCAGAAGGCGGGGGGCCGCGCCCCGAGTCGCCGACTCCTGCACTCTCTTCCCGACGGCCTAGCGTGCAGCCCCGTCCCGGATCTGCCCTGGGCGATCCTGACTCTGCCCGG